CGCCTTCTATGAATTTGTTTTGGTTAATTCGACTCCAAGACTTTTAATGTGCTTAAATTTTTTTCAGAATTACATGAACATTGGACAATATGGAAAGGTCAAAGTCTTGAACATCTGTGTCTATATTTTAGAAATATTTATAATAAGAAATGACTAGCAGATAACATGGATTGCCAGTCTGGTCGTCAGTATTGGTGTTATTGTTGGTTGCCCTGTAGGCAGACAATGGAAGGCCATAATTCTGCTCACTTGTTGATCACTATTCCAATTTCATGGAATTTGCCACTTTAGCATTACTTGGCAGTTTCGAATGTAGTGCTTTTCCTGCGTGTAATTTTCAGGTTATGCTTCCCTGGGAGGAAAATTGCTACAAATCATTAATAACTTGTAGTTCTATTGTGTTGTATTTGGCTATAGCAGATTCTGACATAGATCATCTGACAGAAATAACTCCTTCCGTAAGAGAACTATTTTCAGTTTATGCATCTTTTCTGTTTGCAGCATCTAAGGTGGATCCTCTCCACCTTGAGTATTTCACCTTTGCTGGCCGGGTGATTGCGTTAGCTTTGATGCATAAAGTGCAAGTCGGCATTGTCTTTGATCGTGTGTTTTTCCAGCAACTGGCTGGAACTTTATATTTGTCTTTGGAAGACATACGAGATGCTGATCCATTCTTGTATAGTAGTTGCAAGCAGATACTCGAAATGGATGCCGATTTTATTGATTCAGATGCTTTAGGATTGACATTTGTTAGAGAAGTGGAGGAGTTAGGAGCCAGGAAAACTGTGGAGCTTTGCCCTGGTGGGAAAAGCAAAGTTGTGAATAGCAAGAACAGGGAGGAATATGTTAATTATCTAATTCAGCATCGCTTTGTCACATCTATCTCTGAGCAGGTGTCTCAATTTGCGCAAGGTTTTGCTGATATTCTATGTAGCTCAAGGCTCCAGAGTTTCTTTTTCCGAACTTTAGAACTAGAAGATCTTGATTGGATGCTGCACGGAAGTGAAAGTGCTATTAGTGTTGAAGATTGGAAGGCACATACTGAGTACAATGGCTACAAAGAGACCGATCCTCAAATACTTTGGTTCTGGCAGGTATGCTTGCTTGATTCTGGTTTTATTAGCACTGAATGTGCTTGTCTTCTCTTCACTTTCCCCTTCCTTCTATAGCTTCTTCACTACTTACCTGCTGAAAGTACACATAAGATTTGTTTGTTATCATACGAATTTTCAATTGGGGGATGGTTAACATCTATGCTCTTCAAAACCTAGACATGAAGAAACAGATACATATGTATGTGATAGTGAATTTATCACATGAATATGCATTTTTGTTATTTGTCTTGGGTTGTTTACTTGCTGGGTGAATAAAGACGTAGGGAAAAAATAAATAAAAAATGTAAAACCTTTGTTCAATGCAGGAAAATAATTTATAAAACGCCTTTAAGCATCAGAGCACAAACCAAACATGAGTTTTGTGAGACTTGTGTCCTTGGATATCAGATGCTGCACATTTCAAATAAGGGAAGTTTCTTGCAGATCACAATGTTAGGCTCCATTTTGATGAAGGGATTTAAAAATATGGATTTGGACTTTAACAATAAACTTATATTGAGTGGAAGAACCATAAAAAAAACAAGATACAAGGTAATTGAATTGGATTTAAATGCCTACATAGAGTATGATATCATGAAATCAAAATGACTAGTTACAATGAATCATATAAGTTTCATGTTTTTTTTTGGGTATATAAATACTAGCTTTTATTTATTGTTAACATCATATTCAAGCAATTTAACTATAAAAATTAACTAAAGTCTAGCGCCAAAGAAAGATATGTAAACTAAAGTCCCTAGATTTAAATAAAAACGAAACCTAAATGTCATGCTTGTCTTTGATTTCTTCTTATACCTTCAATGTATGGCATTGTTTGATCGAGGATGAGTGCCCTTTCTTGGTAAAGAAGAGTGTCAGGTTTTCCTTTTGAGTGTGTATGTGTTGTCATTATAATCCAGTATAGTTGAAGTAATGATGTACAAAATTAAGTTGTCATGGAGTTTGGTTAGTGTATGTATATGGAAACTTCTGGTGTTGAATGGACTTAATTTGTCGCTCTACTACTATTTGGGTTGAGATATTGATGTGTATATGTTACTGGGGATGCTTGGCTTTTCTGGGCTGTATTAGTTGAATCAACCAAGAATTACACAGAAAAGAAATCTAACTTGCATCTTGTTTATTTTATTTATTTATCTATGTATCTTATATTTACTTTTTTTCACCTATTAAGTTAACATATTAATCACACTAAAGTTTTGGGGACAAACTGCCAAGCAGTGTTACTCATAGAAAATAGTCTTAATTTTCCAGACTTTAGAGACCTGTCTTTTAGGAATATTTGGCTAGATTGGAAAGCAGCCATCCGCTCGTTTTCCAGAGTTAGTTTATGCATACCCTTGTCATGATGGGCGTGTAGGGGCCTGTTTCGTTTTCTGCTTTCCTTTGCTTTACTATTTTCTTGTGGTCATCTTGACCACCTTTGTACTTTATTGAAATAAAATCTTGTTTCCTTCTCAAAAAATAGAAAATAGTCTTAGTGAACCAGTTGGGTTTAATTGTTAACTGAGATCGGTCATGGAAGCTTTTGCTTGTGTGCATGATTTGATTTTCAAATTAATGAAAGCATGCAACAGGATGGTTTTGAATTAACAATGGGGTGATCTCATGATGGGTGTGTAGGGGCCTGTTTTGTTTTCTGCTTTCCTCTGCTTTACTATTTTCTTGTGGTCATCTTGACCACCTTTGTACTTTATTGAATTTTGTAATAAAATCTTTTTTCCTTTTTCAAAAAATAGAAAATAGTCTTAGTGAACTAGTTTGGTTTAATTGTTAACTGAGATCGGTCACGGAAGCTTTTGCTTGTGTGCATGATTTGATTTTCAAATTAATGAAAGCATGCAACAGGATGGTTTTGAATTAACGATGGGGTGACTAATAAATCTGTGTTTATTACATTCCTGCTGAAATTGGCTGAGGACTTGAGGATAGGAGTTGATTTCCAGATAGACTGCATCTTTATATTTTCTTAGGTTGTGGTTATAAAGTACCTTGATAAATTTTACTGTTTTACACTGAAGTTATGGAGCAAAACGTTTTTCACTTATGCGGTTACTTAAATTGTCACTTTTTTGTTAATGTTGGGCCTCGTGTAGGCAACTTATGGTATTTTAAATACAGTGGTATAAAATCTATTATATGCTGCTTTTGCCTGAAGTTGCTTGATCACCTTTGTACTGCACTTTTTCCCTTCCTCTTTTGGCTCTGATGTCTAGATTTCTTAATCTTCGTAGATGCTTTGACCAAATAAAGAAGTCTTTATAGATCTAATATCATGGAACATAAGGAGGTGTAATGAAATGTTAGAAAATCAAAATTTTCAACTCACAATGGGCCAACATGATGAATCGTCTTAAAGTTCATTCTGGTGGCTTTTGGACTAACCAATTAGTTATTTAGCACTGCTTTTAGATATTAAAGCATCGGTTCCTCAAACTTCATTTGCAGCTGGGATCATTTTATACTACGTGGTTGATGTAGGCATGATTGAAAGACAGGAAAAGCAGCTAAAAGTTGCTTTGTTTTGGTAAAGCTTTGAGCATGGAACTGAAACAATTGACCATGTTAATCTGGGGGTAGTTGGATGCTGCATAATCCGCTGATAGCAATATAAATATGAGTAGTTGTTGCTAGTTTGTTATGTGGTTAAATTAATTTCTTTAAAAATTGTGCAGATTGTTGGGGAGATGTCCGCAGAGCAGAAAAAGGTTCTTCTCTTCTTTTGGACCTCTGTGAAGTATCTTCCAGTTGAGGGGTTTAGTGGTTTGGCTTCTCGGCTTTACATTTACAAGTCCTCAGAACCGTACAGCCGTCTGCCTTCGTCTCATACATGCTTCTACCGGTTGTGTTTCCCAACTTATCCATCTATGGCTGTCATGCAAGACCGCCTTAACATCATCACCCAAGAACATGTTGGCAGTAGCTTTGGGACATGGTGATATATTAGTAGTTGCATCTGCATTTTGGGGTAAAAAGGGGGATTTGACTGCACATAAAAAGTACTCGGTACTCAGATTGTACAGATTATAGGACACCGTCACCGTCTTGTCATTTGGCTAATGTTAGAAGGGACTATGCTAGTGTTTTCTTTGTTGAAAGTTTGCAGTGTCATTGCTATTTTTGTCAACTGTCTATATAGGGTATAGCTATAAATAAATTGGGAGGCAAGAAATAAGAAAATTTCTCTGCTTAACGGACGTTTATTTCATGACATGTTAGTACACTCAGATATGATGCAATGGCATGCAAGTCTATATATACAAAGATTTACCCGTCACTGGCCTCATTTTGGTTGCTAATTATTTCCCTCATTGAAGTATTTTTGAGTTTGTGTGTAATCAAAGAAACTTTGTATATATTGGTGTAATGCGCGTCTCATTTTAGTTTTGGTATGCATGTTTTTTGGTCGGAGTGGCACTACGTTGGCCTTACGTGACAAACAACTACTCTCCGGATGCCCATTTGCTGCTCACACGACCAAAAAACTCAGTACTGAGCCTTTACAATTACAGGCTTCACAGCATGCATGCGGTAATATCATGCATGTTGATCCTACACTTTACCTGCAAAAATACACATTCACAATAGCAGTAGTGTACTCAATTTATTCTTATACAAACTTTCCAACTTTTTCATGTAAAATTTCTTAATGATTCTAGCCAAATTTCTAATTTCCACTTCCTTATATGTGTGTGAGTTGAGCCTTTTGATGTTCTATGACTTAACTAGCGGTTATACTTGTTGGTAGAAATAAAAGAGGGTCATCATGATCTCTCTTTGAAGTGCAAGCTCATACCAGCATTGGCATAAAGAAGGCCAAAACTTTCACAAAAATTCCAACAAGGGCGAGAAGAAGGAAGAAAGATATAGCAAAACAAACAAGAATATTATAAGTGCATAAATAAATATTATTCAAAACTAACAGAAATCACATCTCTTCTTCACACCAATTCCACTTACTTCAATCTAACACCATGCATGCCATCGTCTTGAACACATATGATATAAAGCTTAAAATAAGCGTAGATTCCAAATGCCAAACCTCACTAATTTAAAACCTTACTCAATCTAACACCATGCATGCCATCGTCTTGAACACATATGATATAAAGCTTAAAATAAGCGTAGATTCCAAATGCCAAACCCCACTAATTTAAAACCTTACTCCATTATCAACTAAAAACCAAAATATAAATGTAGCTAAGAAGCTGACCAAATTGGACATGCAACCTAGAAAATAACCCCCACCCGGGCCACCCCCACAAACAAACTTCTCTGATGATGATGATGATGATGATGATGATGATGATGATGATGGTGATGATGTCATAAATCTTCTACTCCTCAGTCTTCTCGACCGGAACATCTGTGGTAGTTTCCTCTGCAGGAGGAGCTGCTGGTGTCTCAGCACTTTCAGTGGTCTCTTCTTTGGTTTCCTCTGCAACAGCAGCAACAGGCTCCGCTGCTGTGACCTCTTTGGGCTCTTCTTCTGCCTCTATTTTCTCTGTTTTCTCTGTTTCTGTTGCTGCTGGCTCCTCTGCCTCACCCTCAGCAGCCTTGTGTTCCTCTGCCACCTCCTTGGTCTCAACTTCAGCTGGAACTGGAGCTTCAGCTTCAGGAGCAGCAGGTGCCTCTGCCTCTGCTTCTGCTTCTACTGGTGTGTTTAACTCTGGCTCTTCGGTGGTTGCAGCCTCAGACTCAGGGACAGCAGCTGGTGCTGCAGCCACAGGCTCTTCCGGGGTTTTGTCCTCAGTCTTGATCACCTCAATTGTCTTTGCCTCATTCTCTTGCAACGTTGCTGTTGGTGCAACCTTCAAAATCAAGTTTTGTCGAAAAAATCACTCATATTTTCATTTTAAGAAGCTAATATTGTTTTCGACCAAAAGAGAAGAAGCTAATATTGCATAATACTATAATAGCATAAATTACATAAAATCCTTAGTTTTCGACACGGGTCGATCCATCAACTTTCAAGCTTTATACTTGTGTGCAAATCAGTAGCAAATAATAAGTCAAGTCTACACACACACACACACACACATATATATATTTGCAGATGGGTTGTTTTTGACACCAAAGAACACCAGGAAAAGCAACAGAGATATTGTGTCTATGTAGATGAGCTCGCATTACCTCAACAGTGGCCATTGCTTTAGCAAAGGGTAATGAAAATTGAACAGAAACTGGGAAAATAGAATGCTTGAAGAATCAAGATATGGGAGGAGTGAGTAAAGAGTGCTTAATTGCTAGTGAGTGAAAGAAATGATCAATGTGAGAGCTATATATAGATAGATGTGTGAGTGCCTCAATGCCTAAATCTTATAAAAAAATAAAAAGAAATAAAAAGAATAGGAGAAAGAGAGCACTTGAAGAATCTTTTGGCAATTTGACACCTCATGGTCACTGACACAAATTAAAGGACATTAACTTGTCTAGTTGTAAATGTTTTTGGTTTGGTGTTTTTTTTTCCTTCAGATTTTAAAGTATATTTTGTAATAGAAATAGCTTTGTAGACAATGAATGAATTGGAATGGCAAATGGTGGAGGCCATTTCTCATATCAGCATCATATCTTTCTTTTGAGTTGGTTTTTCTATGTTTTGTGCAGTAGGGCATGTAGGTGACTGGCCATCATGCATTCATGTTCTTGTGCCCTCCATTTCTTTTTTATGTCTTAGTTAGTAGGCCCCATCACTAATAAGCTTAGCCTAATTTCGGTTAAAAGTCTTCTTTTCTTTTTCTAGTATGAGTGAGTGAGTGTTCCAACATTGCTTTTGCAAACTAAAAACGTTACACAAGATGCAATAGAATTACACTAAATTAAATTCATCTAATTTTTCGCACTTTTATTATACAAGAGAATAGAACAAAGTTTGAGACAAGAGTTAGGATTTCAACTCAAGTAAATTCAAAAGTACAAGGATTCCCATCTTTCCATACAACCAATTACACGATTAATTCCGTGATAGTTGCGGTGATAATGCAGATTTTATTTTTCTTATTTTCTACTCAATGTTGAATAGGCATGGGATGGAGCACGGGGGCATGAGGAATGCACAGAATCTGCAATATAATTCAATTTTGTCACTAGCTCTGATGAATTGATTAATTAATTAAATGCACAGGATTAGTAGACAAATTAAAGCAGAGGGTACAAACTTGATGGCAGTGTCGTTTAGTGGTTAAAAAGAGAGAGGCAGCTTTTACTATTCTAGTCAAAAATTTGTTTACCATTTTTAAGGTTTCACCATTCATTCTTCATCATAATCACTTTGAAGAGAATTGAATTTGGGACCAAAAAACAACAACTTTGATCGATCATCCACTCCGTCAAATTGGACGCGAGCCAAAAACAAGAGAACAACGTATCAAGGCCGGTGCCTGGTGCCTCAGGGTGGGACCCAACATCACCAACTGCGATCATCACCGTCCACATGGGCCCCTCATTCCATGTGGGACCCACATGCAAAACAAATAAAAAACGCTGCCGTGGCAAACCTTCCCATCCTTTGAGCCCATTGCGCTTGGCTTTGGCAACCGCCCTTTCTATAAAGATGAGGGCTGCGTGGGGCCCAGTGGGTCCTGCTGTTGATGCTTTACAGGTCGGATACTCGTGACTCCGGACCCACTTGCATCCGTATGATTTGCCTTGCTGGATACCACTCATCGCTCTGAATATATCGTCAACTGCACACGTACTATACTACCCTTATCAATTTTAGGTACTCAGGACAGCTATACTATAGCCAAGTAAAGGGCATATTCGTCATTGACTGATCTAATTACTATGTTATTGTGGATCTCTATAATAATAATAATAATAATTTAGAGATGCGTATACTATTCTCTTGTACGGATTAACTCGAATTTAGGACGAAAGTCAGTAAGCAAACGATCCATCATGCCTCGCCTCGACTTGCGCGTCATGAAATTCATCCATTCCATGCCATGCCATGCTCCCCTTGTAATGTAAATAATCATTTCGTGTGATGTGTATTAGTATAAGATTAAGTCATCTCATTACTAATTTTGTATTTTGTCATTAATCTGTGGATAAAGACTTCATTAATCTCATTTCATAGCTCCTTTCTTCGTATATTTTTCTCACGTTATTTATCAAAATTAGAAGGAATGAGGCAATAAAACGGGAATAAGGAATTGTTTCCTAACCGAGAGGGGGGTAGATTTACATCGTTTCCTTCCCTAATTTGTAACCGCGAATGTGCAACAAAGGGAAATAGTTTGATAAAGGCTAAAGAGCAGAGGACGGTGGGGAGTGTCCCCCACCAAAATTAGTGTGATGAGTGATGACAACAATAAACAATTGCACCAGTCAGTAAGTAGTCTACATGGCATGCCTTCTTAATACAAGTATAAAAAGTAGAACATGGGACGGGACAACCGAGCGCAGTTCCTCTGGGGAGTGAGTTGGGACCCATGCGTCAACGGCTGGTCAACAATTCCATGACTCCGGTTAGTGTGTGTGTGTAGTGTAGGTGTCATACACGTAAGCTTGAGTTTTGGCCATGCTGGAAAAACAATCCCCTTTTGCCCATACGCAATTGTCCAAAGTAGAATGTAGGACGTGCTCTTTCCTTACTAATATATAAGATCGAAACGCACGCAAAGATTTTACGTTCCAAATTTTATAAAATGGTGCGCGGAGGATGATTTAAAAGTAGAAAGACTACTTTTTAAAATTATAAAATAAAATATTTTTTTTTCTAAATAAGCTACGTTCTTTTAATTCATCAATTAACTGCATTTGAGAAGGTTTCTCAAGTCACATATTTGCGCTTAATCTTATACAAAATCTCTATATACAAATTTTTCTTTTGAATTGCAGCTTTCAACATGAAAGCTATTCTATATATAAATTTTTCTTCTGAATTGCAGCTTTCAACATGAAAGCCTATGGTAATGGAAGAAGGGTGGTGAGTTTTATACGTAACTACCAAGTTTTAATTGGTCCAATTCCATATAGTGCTTTTAAATCCCAAGCAATCACCAAAAACGTCACAATCAGAACATGTGTTTCTTTTCAACAAGAACCAAGTGATCTAATTGATTGAGAGCTAGCTAGCTCAATCAAAAACTAACTAGCTTTCTGTTTTTTCTTATCGTCTTGACATATGTTTATGGAGAAATACTTTTTTACTTCCGTTTTATTGTTTTTTTTTTTTTTTTTAATCTCTCTCTTTATTTGATAAGTGACATGAGAAGAGATATAAGAAGAGTGGAACAATGAAACGGAAGTAGGGTGTTTTTTCTCAATGTACATGACTTGTATATTTGGAATTGCAATTTGCAACCCTTGGGCAAACATCTTTATTCCTTTTGGTATATAAGCACGTTCTTTTTCAAGTATATTTTCCTCTTGGTTGATTGATTCTTTCTTTCCCATTTTCAATTTAACAGCAGGCTGCAAGTCCAGGTAGGCCACCATATATACAAAGTGGGCCTTGGATCGACAAGAGATATATCAATCAATCAAAACTTCCGAAGTTTCGGCCACTGAGAACGAATGACTATGGATCATGGTAGGAAGGGGAAGCCTCGGCTGCCGGCTCTGCTTCAATTGAATCTTATGAGTGAATGTGAATCTTTAAAGTTGCAGACCACATTCATGCTAATCATATCCATTAAAGAATATAGCACGCACTTTTTTCTTTGGGTCCTTTTCCGTCAAACCTCGAAAAATATAATTCCAACCAGTTGCAACTTTGTTATTTCTTTCATTCTTTAACCAACTCCAAAAGCCTCTTTTGCAAAGTAATTGTATCCACGGCATCCATAAACATAATAATAAAATTACTTAAACCACTCTTTTACAAATATAATAATGTCATGTTGAAATAATAGGATTGAGAGTTGTATATAAGTCACCCACAATATTTTGATTTGAAAACATTTCCTGCGATGCAAAAATGAAAATTGGAATCTCAAAATAATTTAATATTTTTTAAAGTCAATACAAGCTACAACCAGCAAAGCGTGTCATTGTTTAATGATCAGAACAACTTTAACCTTGCTACAGACTTTAATAAGGTTTTCAAAAGTTCCTATATTTTTCATAGCTCTAAGTCTAACTGACTTTCCTGCCGGTGGGAATGGAAGAAACCCAAGACTGGAACACGCAAGGCAGAGAACGATGTTTTCGAGCCAGCCCGACAACTGCATGATTCGGTTTTTCAAATCGCAAGTTTCTTCAACACTGCTTCAGCACGGTGCTCAAATTTTGGTAAGGCCCAATCATGCTGGACTATGTCAAGACTGTCCTTCTCAGCGCCCAAGCTCTGACCAATTAAACAAATAAGGAAAACCGTATAGATTAGGAGTGGCGATACAGAATAAAATTGCTTTAGATTTTATTTTAGAGTTAAGGTTTTTTCTCGAAACGTGAAGCCATACATTCAACAAATTATAAGGTAATGCTCCAATACTTTTCATACAGCTACACATTTGTTAGATATGAAGTATGTTAGGGACAGTTCACATCTGTCCATTCTCTTCCAAAGGTGATCATGCAAAGTGATGGGTGCTTCACATTCTAAGAAATAATAAATTAAGGGACCATAACCATTTTAATCTTAGTTTTTAGTTTTCATTTTTTGTGTTAAGAGTATAGAGGAAAATAGGAGTGAGAATGGGTGTGAGTGTGAGATTGAGAGAGATAATGTGAGGGGATGATGGGAGGGAGGAGTAACAAAAGTGAAAACAAAAACTTGAAAGTGAAAACAATTTCAAATAGATTTCAGTATTAGTTTTTGTTTTCACTTTTGTTACTCCTCCCTCCCATCTTCCCCTCTCATCTTCCCTCTAAACCCCATCTCCACTCTCATTCTCACTTCCATTCTCCCTCTTGTTCCTCTATACTTTAGCACACAAAATGAAGACTAAAAACTAAAATTGAAACGGTTATCAAACGGGTCCTAAGTAGTTTAATTAAGGAGATCACATCCACTGTCAGTCAAGTGAGTAAGTTGATTGGACGACATATAAGCCCCAACATACCTATTGTCCCAAAAGGAAAAATCCCTGACCTTAACGTTCAAACGACTTGACAACAAATGCACTTAAAAAACAACAGCGATGACAATGCATAGAATCCAAGGTCTAAAAAGAATACTTTCATGAAATGTAGTTAGATATCAGTTCTTTTCGTTCATCATATTGAGCAGGCCAAATTACATAAATAGAATGGTTGCGAAGAAACTAAAGCACAAAGAATGGCATCTGAAATTTTCTAAGATTAATGACTCTTAAACCTCGAGGATTACAAAAAACTATTAAGTTCATACCTTTGATGGATCAAAACCAAACCCACTCATTTGCATCATACGCTGAGTATCATCCATGGCTGCATAAGAAAAGTTTTTATTTTAGTTTATCAACCTCCTAGAATACATAAATTCTAGCTCATAGTTTCGGTGTTACATGTGTGAAAAGAAGCTCAACATGCATTTCTGAGTATGAAAGCTATCATGATGAAATAATCACAAAATGTGGCACTAACCATTTTCTT